GCCAAAAGCCCTACAATGAATAGCAGGGATGAATGCCCGGAGATCATACGCGACCTGATCTCGTACGTTCGCATCGATTTTTGATGTGGGATGGTGCAGTCGTCAACCACATGCGACTATAATCAGCTGTTCTAAACTTCCTCATTGGAAGTCACGAAAAAGCGGTGGGTTTTTCGAGAAGTTGTTGATTGTGTAATTGCCGGAGAGTTCTTCGTCTTTTTGTAAGTGTTATTGAAGCGTTTGGCCTAGCAGATTGTATATCAGTATACCCTTCCAGGCTCTGAAGAAGGCGATACTGCCGAAACGTCAGCTAGCGTTGTATTGTATTGTGTTTTCTTTATGGAAGTAAATGTATGCTGTTTAAAAACCTCGCGATTGCTGAGCAAGAAAACGACACATTCATATTCCAATGCCGAGGTTAAGAGAAAGTCGATCTTGGGAACTATTCCCAAAACTGTTGTTCTTTTACGGATTTTAATTATCTATGGAACACTTAACTCTATAAACCCAACACAACAACATGAAAACAAATGCGGACACAATACTAATCGCAAATTCCTCACACTATACATATAAGGGGTGTGTGGTATAGCGGTCGGAAGCACCCTCTAATAGACAATGGACCAATTCCGGCTCCCCATGCCTCACCAAGCCCTCTCTCCCTCCGGGTCGGCAAAATGGTACCAGACTTTCTGGGAGGATAACAGCACTGGCCTGATACATCGGTAGGCCACAATGAGTCATTGTAAATGTCGTATATGCATTCAATCGCTTCCTACGATGCTTAATGAAGTCGAATGCATGGCGCATCCTTAAGGGATAGATCAACGCCTAGAGCTTTATCCTTCATCCTTTAAACAGATAAGAATTCTAAGACGACGGGTGTTCTAAGAAACGGAAAGAAGAAGGTGAAAAACTTTCTACGAACTAACAATATACAACCTCTCGATTTGTTTCACCTTAAGTTGTTCGGCTGTAAATGAATAAGGGTACTCAACGCAAAGTGGGGAATCCGTAAACCTCTTAAGAACAACGAACGAAACAATAAACTCTCCACGTTTAAATATCAGTATGTAGAATGAATGATACATTGCGAGAATTCTCACTACCCAGATATAAAACATTTACATCATAATCATCATCATCACCATCATCAAAGTGTTCCGATAATATCGATTTGGCTCAGTATTGAAATATAAACACTTAACGACATCATAATATACATAGTTAACACTTAACCATATAGTAAGGTCCATTATGAGTGATACGAAAAGTGACCAAGGGTCAAAAGTGAGTGTTATAGGTGTTCCTAACTGCTATGCAAGAATGAGCAAAAAAAAAGAAGCTCTAACACCCATAAACTGATAAGAGAAAATGAATTGCATGATTGAATGCTTTTTAGCTAACACCCATATACTCGATGTATTCATAAATCTGACAGTTCAGTTTTCTTCAGTTACACTCAACACATTAGTTCTCTGGGCTTTGCCGAATGATGTGCTTTGATCGAAAACTCCCCTTGGAGTTCACGACGCTTCCACGAATGTGCTCTTCGTTTTGCACTAACTGCACCAACGTGTCCTTGTAAAAGTGCCATTGCCTGCTTTCTTCTTCTTCGAAGAAACGTGACTAAAAGCATTCTGAGTGAATCATTCTGTAGTCGTAGCAATCGTTTTCGTTATGTACACGAACATATCACGTATAAATCGACTTTCTTCCGTAGTAATGCTTCTAAGGAAAATCTTCAGTCACCCATCAGAAGTTTTGGATTCATGGTAAATATAAGATCTCCACGATAACCTTTATATCACCCCACCAGAACATTGCTACTAACCTAGTCATACGCCTGTCCTACAAATACACAAAGTTGTTAATGGAAATTTTGAACTTATGACTAACCCACCGGTATACGAAACTGCACGGGGAACCGGGAGCTTTTGGAACAAACAGACATAAGACGGCTGACAGGCAAACGATGAGAAAATAAGATCAAGTAAAGGTAGCAGTAATGTGAGGAGTATAAAGAAATATTTGGAGCAAAGGAATTAGCCAAAATGGCTGAATAGAAGTGATAAAAGTGAAAACGAAAGAAGGAAAAACTAAAGGTAAACGCTTATGGTGAGAAGTGGAGACGTTTACAGAAACAACATTATCACAGATTAGATTTTATCTTCAGAAAAATGCTAAAGACTAAGTGCTACTAGAGATTAAGCACTAAACCAACTTTTTGGTGGAGGAGAAACCGTTAAGCTCTTCAGTTAATGCGGTAAAGAAAGTGTTTACAAGAAGTAAGCACAGATCTCCTCTCATTGTGAGAGTATAGTGCTAAACATCACTTTAGGAAAATACAGTAGGAAAATTAGCGCAACGCAGGCAACTGTTGACAAAGGTTTGGTAAATACGACGAAACTGTTGTTTTTCATACAACGAGAAGCTTACTAAGTGAAAAGTAAGGAACAGTAACTACGACAAGTAACTATGAAATTCCCTCCAAATCCAATCAATGAAATAAAATTCTTACCATAGCACATTCAAGGTCCCTTTCACGACGGGCATAAGTCATTCGAAGAAAGTTCACATCGGAGAGTCTTCTTCGTAGTCGAGCTTCTTCTAACAACGCTTCTGTCTATAAACAATAGTTATAAATTAAAATGTCGAATATACAGAAATGAAAGGTAGTAGAGCCGTCGTAACCATATTCAATGCACTAATCCAAAATGTAATCAATCAGGTTTTTTGGCCATTCAGAGTTTAGTAGCAGAACTACGTACTCTTTTTAAACTTTTGCAGTTACGATGGTTTACCTTCTGTAGGGAACCTACAAACCTATCGAAAAAGAACAATTAAATTCCCTTAAAAGTAATCCTACTTCGTCGTCTCCACTACGGATGCGATCTACAACTTTTTCCAGCAAACATCGCAATTTCATCTCGAAGCGCAATAGCTCCTTGAAATGTTCTATATGACGTCGAATCTGAACACTTTACGATATAAAGCTAAAAAAGAAAGATTAATAGAAAGACAGACCTTGTTTGCTAAGTGGAGATCATGTTTTTCAATAACACTGAGAAGGCACTCTCCGTTCCTCTCGTTGGCTGATATATCATCGTCAACAGAACTCCGCTCGCCTTCAAAATCACGAGCACGCCGACTCATCGGTCCGATTGACTGAAACAAAGTTAACTAACGACTGTTCAGAAATAAACGATGGGAAAGGAGGTTGTTAAAACAGAAAAAAAAACCAAAGTCTTTCTGAAGACTTCGACAATCGAAGAAAATTGCTTTAATCGTTAAGAAGAACAGAAATTGTTATTGGTAAAGTACCGTGGAAGAAGATGACACAACGCTTCACCTCTATTTGCTTCTCATCTACTTTCTTCAATTCATGTGAACCACGATCACTTGCATTGCACGTTTGTTGAAAGCTTGCCGATGATGGTGTTCCAATCAAACTGTTCAAAAATGTAGACGTCGTATGAGAAATAGGCGGAGATAATGAAAACAGACTTGTAGACCTACAAAAACAGACTAGGTGAAGTGATAGTATAAAATTACATTTACTAGGTGTAGAAGACAGTAAGCAAAAAAGTTAACATTGCGATTTCGAGTGCAGCCTGAGCTTCATTGGGTTCAGTGCAGATTTGGGCTCCCCCGATCAGTGACGTTAACGGGTGATTGCCGATGACGGTGGAACATAGAAAACTAGCTTAGAGAAAGGCGAAATGAAAGACCCGCATGGTGTGGTGGTGAACAAGTTAGCCTTCGGAAAGGGTAATAGCGCGTTCGATGCCCACCGCAGATACCTGGTGTCCCCAATTTTGCAAATATCTCAGCACCATTGTAATAAGTGATTGCTGTGCACTGGATCAGGACTACAACGGTTTTTCATTCATATAACACGACATCATGAAAACAAACATATATGAAAACAAATATTCCGTAAACATGTTACTTTATATCAAATCACGAGGTGGTTACACTGAGCAGTGGGTTAGGATCACTTCCCTTTGTCATTAATACGACACGATTTTCTTTTAAAAAAAAACAAGTAGGAAGGCGTAATTTATTTCATAATCACGTAGTTTAATATTAATCTGAAGATTTTGTAGCTATACCTGTTCAGATGATCAACCTTCAGATTCTTCGGCTTTGCTGGAACCATAGGTTTTTCCTTCCTCATTTCAGCGTCGTTTAGTGCCATAATTCTCTCTTCGTTAGGCATCGGATGCACCTGGATAACGTGGACATTGGATGAATATCATACAGATTACAATGGAAAGCATGAAGTATACGAAACCGAGGAGATTGTTTCATGACATAAGAAAACTCATAATTTATCAAGAGGGATGGCTTGCGGTCTAAGTATTCGGAAACAAGTGGCAATGCTTTCTCCGCTTTATTTACTCACGGGTCGAACGTTTGTTGAAAACTGTTGTGTAACTCAAGTACTTATATTATCGTTAACAATACAAATACCTTCGTGAAAGTTAAGTTAGTAGAAAAATTGGAACAAATGTATAATTACTTCTATTTATACCTTCTTCGATTGTTAAGCTAACACTGGTTTGATAAAGGTGTTTATTCGGCTAACGACTCCATGTCTTCGTTTTCATCAGAGATCATCGACTCGGATCAACCGCTCTGATGAAGACAAAGATTTCAGAACGTTAGCCGAATAAACATTTTCACAAATCTCGTGTTAGCTTAACAATACTAGAAGGCAGTGATGACTACTACGAGGTTAAATGAAGGTCGGTCTGGAAACTACTGCTCTGCTCCTATTTATGTTATTTCCACTCGCACAACTATCAAAACTCAATAATTCTTCTTACCTCCACTGTAGGTTTTGTGTGAGGTGGAGGGGGTGGTGTTGAACTACTCGATAAAGACGTATTGGTAATATCTAATGAACTCATTGACGTCGAAAACGTAGAATTCAATCTGAAACATAAAATTTGTACACCATACTGGCTGATCTAAAGAGAGTTAAATTCATCAGTTATAAGAGAGATCTTGTGATTATAAGCAGTTCTCTAAGAAGTCAATGAAAGAATACAACGAAAAAAGATGAAGCAATTTTCGTTCTATACAAGATGGAATTCGGACTAGTTTTGGCCACAACTGACAGAAGGCCAGATTACTCAGAGCAACGGACCAGTGTGAAAAGTGTTATGAAGGCAAGAAATACGAGAAGACTGAAATCAAAGACAAGCCAGACGCTAGTTCACTAGAAATAGAAACGCCTCAAGTGGTATTCGTCAGTTGAGTGACGATTTGTTCCTTTTTTTCTTTGATGGAAAAAGAGAGGAAAGCTGAATTCGAGCTGCTACAGGAAAACTGGGCTTGTCCTGAAGAACAACTTGGTGCTGAGCAAACCCGTAACAGACCACGAAAAACCATATGGAAATGAAGCAAAACACATATGACTTGACTGCTGGCCATAAGCTTGACACGCTCGCATGTGAATCATAAAAAAAACGGCTGGAAAACAAATCAGGAAAAAATTGCTGATTCAAATATAAACTGTGTGAAAGACTGGTTGAACAAGAGGAATCAACTAACACGGCGTAATATTCACTCGAATTGGTGTTAGTAAATCTTTATAGAGTCTGTTCTTTCTGTTGAAAACAAAAGTTTGAGAGGGACTCAATCGAAGCAACATTTACCTCAACAACATAAAGAATGTTAGTTCCAAGATTACTAAGGAATTACTTTTATAAATCCTCAATATTTCTTCCAATTCAACGCTGTGACTTCATTCTTTCAAATAGGACAGTTCAACCTAATTAACCCATCTTAACACGCACAGTCCGACCTAAATTAACTCACCTTAACATGTACGCAACGAATGCGTGTAGCGTAGTGGTCAGAGGTGCCTTGCAATACACGTGGGATCGACACCCGCGCCCCTGGCTCACCAAGCCCTCCATCACTCGGTGGTTAGAAAATTAGTACCATGCTTGTCTGCGAGGATAGCAACACTGGTTCGATTCATCAGTAGGGCACCGCGAGTCATTGTGGAGGCCAGATATGCATTCAGTCACTTACAACGATGCTTAATGAAGTCGAATAGATAGTGCATGCCTCAGCGATAGATCAACGCCAAGATCTTTATCTTTTATTCTTTAACACGTACATGGCTCAAGTCTACACAAAATGGAGTATAGATAGCGTAGTGGATTCCGACTTAATTGACCGTTAAGAAGAACTTCTGATCGTTGGCAGAGCGCGAGAAGGGTCGCGATGGACACAGCAGATTGTGCGACGCATGTGCAAACATCGTCCAGTTCGTCGTATATTCGCACAAAGAAACGAAATTCAAAAGTCATGAACTCTACCGACATCGTTAATATTCTACAGTTGTTCTCCGAGAAATCGCTAAAAGCGATACGAAACTCCAAAGCAAATTTTCAAACCAGTCTTTTCTTTTGAACGGAACAGGCTCAATTTCTACGCTTTGCCTTCTATGACTTTTTAAAAGAACTATACCACAGGAACCAAATATTGGTTAAAACACAACCAAAACAAAAGGCATTTTGCATTGAGAAGAAGCCAAAGCACGTTCAGAAAGGAGTTTCTCTCCTGGTAAGCCCAAAATTCTTGTATGAGAGAAAAGTACTAGTGTTTTTGTTGTATTTTTAGCTTATCTGCTCTACCTGGTTTCTTGTGTGGGCTATGGGGCTGATATTTCAAGTTCAACACTCTAACTAACATCAAGCAGTGCTCCATAGTCATCAAATGAAAGAAAGCACTTAAAGAAATCTACGAAGAAACAACTGCTAGCCAAAGCTGCCAGTCTACTCTTTAGGCTAATCTGCTAATTTAATGCACTAAGTCTAGCATAGGAAGCTTAAGAAGGAATACGTGTTGACTATACTCCTATGTAACCAAAGAACGAAGAAAGCTGCTGCATTCCATTTGCGAGGAATTCGTAGTGAATAGTTCGTGTGACCCGAACAAGGAATTAGTGGCATGAACCGAACGACAAATGTTAGTCCACTCGTACAATCAATTCTGAGAGATACGGATCATAGATGGGGGAATCTAGATCTCGGAGTCGGCGAACAGATTCACGAAAGCAAAAGGAAACCTTCAGATCGTCACTTGAGTTAAGTCCATAATATATGTGACTCGATAGAGCAGTGAAAATAAAGGAGAGTAGTAAAACACACAACACTGGAAATAGAACTATTAACACATTCTATCACAAATGCCAGAAATCTTCCTGCTGCTGTAGCGAATTTATAACAACTGGACTAGTTAAGCTATATATAAACGCAGAGACGCGCGTAGCGCAGTGGATGCCCTTCAATACACAGGGGATCGATCCGTGTCCCAGGTCCGCCAAGCTCACCGTCCCTCCGCGGTCTGCAAATTGATACCGACTTGTCTGGCAGGATAGCGGCACTGGTTCGATACATCGGTTGGCCACCGCTAGTCATTGTGAAGGACAGATATGCATTCGATTACCTCCAAACGATGCTTAGTGAACTAGAATGCATGACGCATACCCAGCGATTGATCAACGCCAAAGCTTTATCTTTCTTTTCATTTTTAAGACGATGAACCGCCATCGGTGAAGACCATTCGGCGACATTAACCAACGTGGATCTACATAAAACGGTTCAAGTTGTGTACGGAAGCACAAGGGCAGTTTAGAAGTTGGAAACCTTGACAAATCGATGACCCACGAATTTAACGAACTATAGAGATCGCCAGTAGCAAATATGTTGTGGTACTTTTACGCAACAAAAACGACTGGTTTCTTAATCGCACTGAGACTTTGATGTGAAACAGATTCTGAACGACGTAAGACGACATTACACACAATTCTCAAACAAGGATGAGACTACAAAACATTTTGCAACGGCAATTTTTCATAGTAAGATTGCTATGGTGATTTTTTGCTGATAGCGACAGTAGGAATCATTCACAATGAATTCTTCAATCCTTGCGAAATATTTACGATCAAGACGGCGGTGCCAAGAAACTGATAAAAAGCACCAGAAACTACAATGTCTGTGAAGACGGCGATCAATCGAAATCGACTCACCACTGTTTCCTCTTAACGCCTCAGGACACAACGAACAACAAACACAACGGAGTTGGTGGATTGAAAAGAATACGAAACTTGTCCTCACCTAGCATACTCAACGAGCCCCACAGCAACCGGTTCCCACTTTTTCCAACATCTCAAAAACTACGTACAGGGAAACCTTTGGCGGCATAGCTTCTCGCATAAAATATCCTCAGGAGATTCGCAGACTTTAGAAGCCTAACATTTCTGTGTAACCTAATAAACATATAATTTGCAAGTTGATGACATTAGAATGAATTATTTCTACTTCCACCACAAAGTTTAGCATGAACTAGACGTCTATCGAACGTTGAAGGTCAAAAAATTACACGTTCGCTGGGTTAACCAATAGTTTAAAAATATTAAAGAAATCAAGCACTTCAACTCTGCTGTCACGACTAAATATAATTGTGGTTACTTTTATTTACTGCCTATGGCAGAGTAAAGGGCCAAGGATAAAGCTCTTGGCGTTGATCAATCCCTGAGAGATGCGCCATGCATTCGATTTCACTAAACATCGTTTGGTGGTGATTGAATGCATATCTGGCTTTTACAATGACTCTTCGTGGTCTACCCATGTATCGAGGCAATGCTGCTATGTTCCTAGACAAATCTGGTACCAATTTACCAAACCCGGAGGGATGGAAGGCTTGGTGGGCCATGTGCGCGCGGATCGATTCCACGTGTGTGTTCCAGGACCCCTACGACCACTGCGCCACATGGTAGGGTATGATTCGAAATATAACTAAAATGAAGCTTTTGCAAATATCTCAGCCCCACTGTAGCTAAATATAATTGTTTTCACCTGATTTCATTATGTGTTCCCAGTCTTAAATATATATGTGGAATGCCTAGATTCACAATTCAATTATTCTTCACATGAAATTAATGTTCCCTTGAAAATAAACCTCCTTTTAGGAACTTTCTCCAACACTTCACCAATTTGGAAATCCAAGTTAATCCTTCTTCTGTACTGCATTGTAAGATTAGATTTTGAAAAGGCAGTTTTTCATACTTTCATACCAGATAGGGAAAACGTAGCAAAAGTATTCTCTATGAATGAAGGAACACCACTAAAACTAACTGGCAGATAGTGTATTAATCTCAAACTATCACTCTAACAGGCTTGAAAAACTGGAAAACCAGATGCACTATTGCGAAGACTCTTTGTATTGATCATAAACAATTGCAGAACTTGTGCTTAGTTCACATAGTATGCAAAAAACTGCCCTGAAGATGACAGACGAACGCAATGGCGCCAAATTCTTCTACCGCTAGACAAGATAGAGGTCGAAAGGTTCATGACGTTCCTCCCAAATGAGATAAACTATGTTGCGCAATAGTGAACAACACTGCATAAAACACACAGAAAGCAAAAACTCAAGACTCAAGAATATCGACAAGGGAAAAGTACTATTTGTTTAAAAAAAATTGTAAAGCCCCACCTTGGCTGAGTAACAGGCACGAAAGAGGAGTCGAAATCTGGCAAAATCGATTGATAACCACCCGAATCTATTAATGATCGATAATTGCTTCCAATCGACGTTGCTGGAGAGGCCTGATTGGACGATGAAGCAGAAGCTGGAAGGAATGGTGAGGGACGCGAACCTCTGAAGAAACGATTACGGAGTCAATGTAGAAACAAGTTCTTGTCAGAAAAGAGCTTACTGTTCTTCTCTTCGTTGCCTGATTTTTCGCTTTGCACCCGAAGGACTACGATGCAACATCACTGGCAGATCCTGGACGAAAAACGTCCGTGAAGGCTGAAATACAAACAAGTATTTTCATCATGATTTGGTTTTTCTGAAGATGACACGTCAACTATTGAAAATCCTTCCTTTCATGAATTTCTATCAAAGCTTCAAACGGTTCTTCAACCAGAATCTCGTAGTTTTTTCATTCGAATGCTAGCAGTTTTATGTGTACCACATACTAACTTGAAAAATAAAACACTTTGTAAATATAGTGTGATATCATAGCAAAGGGCGCTTGTAGCGCAGTGTTCGGAGGCGCCCTGCAACACACACATAAGATCGACCCTCGCACCCCATGTTCACCAAGTTCTCCATCCCTCTGGGGTCAGTAAATTGATACCATACCAGTCTAGGAGGATAGCAGCATTGGCTCGACACATTGGTGGGCCACTGCGAGTCATTGTAAAAGCCAGACGTGCATTCAATCACCTCCAACGATGCTTTGAAGTTCAATGCATGGCGCATCTCGCAGAGATTGATCAACGCCGAGAGCATTGTCCTTCTTTCCTTATCATACCAAAGGGTATTACTTAAAAATACAGTGCAGGTAAAAGTTTAATCATCACATTTTCTCACATCTTCCGCGAACTAGTTAGAATTTTGGGCATCACTGAAGATTTTAGCATGTATAGAAAACTTCCTATAACCATATAAGAACAGTTTAAATAACCGGATTATTTCGGTTTCATAGTAATATTACGCGAAATAGAAGCAACTGCCCGTATGATTCAACAGTACCTTGTCTCTGCAGTATTAATTCAAGTCCTATTTGTGAATATCGAACAATCGAGCTAAGTGATAGCAAATCCAGATCAGTAACGGATTGAATGACTTTGTAATACGCACTATTATGGAAATTCCAAGCCAAACATAGTGAAGAGATGACGTAATCGGACAGGAATTCGTCGTGAGTCATTTCATCGTCCTGTTCCGTGCCGGCGCGAACGAGACAACCCCCACCACATCAATTATGCAAGTTCTAACGAATACTACTACGATGAAACTACTGAGAAGAATGTGAAACATTCGAATTCGTTTCGAATATTCCTCCGACAGACCTTAAAAAAGTAAAGCCCTATTAAGGAAGAAGAAGAAAATATAAAGCGCAGTCTTCCCCATGGTACCAACTAGCAAGAGCTGATAGTTAGTTCTACTGTTGTTTAAAGAAAAGTCAAAAACTGGTGATCCACACTGAAAACCACAGAAATCATGCAACCAGTGAGCGGTTAACTAAACTCTAGAAAGAAACGAATTGCAAAATTCTACTGAAAAAAACTTAACCAACCTTCATGCTCGATGTCGATGATAGTGGTGCTGAATTTTGAAACTGCTTGCGATGGAGAAATGATAGCTTTTCGACAGAGAAATTATGAGGGGAAAGCAGATGGTGAACGACAGGCGGCGATGCGACGAGGGTTTTGGGCACGAAGAGAGCCTTTGTTAGGTTTGGCGGGCCTGCTAAGGTCAGACCCGCCTCCGTAACGCATATCGTGGTAATTAACGCACACGAATACGCTACGACAAATACCTTTACATGGATTCACCAATCATTGAAAAAGAAAACAATCGAATTTTATGAGCGTAATGGAGGTTTCAAACCCAAAACTGTAAGGAGAATAGTCAGAGCTTCTGGAACATTGAAGTTTGAAAAGAAAAGAGAAAATGAACTCACCAAACAGAAACTCTTTTATAACATAATAAGCAATATTAAGTCTTCTAAGTGATCTCAAAGTGTTACCTAAATTAAACAAAATCCACATTTCGAAAAAATTCCTTAAATAAGCTTTATCATAAGAGACATCTTCACTCACAGCCATCACTGCGGGGTTTCAGATGACAGCCTACATGACCACGATTGTAACCCTAAGATTCAGCCGTCATCGCTGTTTTTATTCAGACGATTAGTTTAGATTTCCAATTTTACGAGCAGCCATTGAATCATCAACATGACTTTTCTATAAGTGATGAACTCATTTCATATTTGCTAGTAATAAGGTTACAACGACAATTACTAAGAGAGATCCATCTAGATTAGAGAATTTCACTACCAGTCGCCAACGAGCAGCTCAATTCGGACTATGTAATCTACCTAATCTGTCCTTATCGTGTCACATTCCATAAACTTAACAGCCTTTCACGAAAACCATTCATTAAGTGTAAAACACCTCACTTCTTATTGAATAACCATCAAATGAGCAAGTAGTACAGTAGTAAGGGGAATGAATGTTATGTTCAGGGAGTGCTCGTCCTTCCAGAGAGCTCCTAATCCCATTAAGAACTAAACCGATGACGAAAGTACTCAGTAAAATCTGTGTTAAGCATTTTTGGAAAGTTCCGCTTGCCAAATTTCTCCATGAGGAAATCGTTTTCTATGGATCCCACGACGACGAAGGTACAGTATCTAAGCCCCTAGCGTGAATGGAAATATTTAACAAAATGTTCAACATTTCGCAAAAATAATTCATAAAACAGAAGTATTAAAAATCCCATGGAACCGAAAATTGATGTCTTTGGGTGAACAGAAATAAACTGGGTGATTGAAGAACTAAAAACTGACGAAAGAGGTCAAGTCGGCCGAGATTCGGAAACACTTAAGAACGCTATCCATCAAACCTCAACTTAGGTTAGAAAAATTGAATAAAATACGACAGTAACTTTGAGACAAGGAGTTATTTACATAAATATGGAAACATGAAGCTAAAAACTTTTATATACATGGACTTTTTGGATAAGAAAGTGGTCGAAACGTAGTCTCGATGAAGGATGGCATGCAGAGCTGCCCATTTTGGGAGCTAAGCCCCCATTTATCGATCGATCTGGCAAATGGTTTCGGATAGGGTTGAAGGCTGCCGATGTGTGGAAAAATGTCTTATATTTTAAAGAATAGAAAAAAGAACTGGAACTATTCATAGAGAAAACCGCTGGGGTCACAGTTTTGGGCTACAAGGCGTTAAGAAGATAAGACTAAGATCTGATGAATAGGAACAATTTGGCACAACCATGTGAGTATTCTAAATAGGTTGACATGTAGCTAATATGGAAGTTTTCATTGGAAGCTAAAGAGTTCTATACAAGCAGTACTGGTCCTACTGATCCTACTGAAGCAACAAGTACTAATAATTAGGGACATTATCCATCAATTACAGCTTAAGTTAAGACAGGGTAACTGGTCCCTTCGGTAAAGCTCGGTTCCTTGGTGGATGACTAACTTCTATATCGACAAGTCAACTATTTGTGTCAATCGTCAAAATTTATGGAATGGTTTATAAATAGATAATATTGGCAGTTGTACTGCATGAAAATGATCTGAATTCTGCAACCAGTTCTGTATGACTCAATAGCGAACTCTTCAAATTCAATTGCTCCGCATTCCATTCGTACAAGTGTAAGGGAATCATTACACCATAGCCTACCGGTTTGTGCCAAGTGTTGAGGGTATATGGACTAGGTTCTATCCTAATATATCCAGTTGCCCAGTTCAACGTTTCTATCCATCAGACCCATTAATATACGGCTTTCTAGGTGTTACCTTCAACATGACATAACTTACTCGTTGAATGGCCACCAACTTCCTGAATAAGAAAGGTTCCCGACAACTTGTGATACTGAATTAAAACCTCCATAGGGCACTTTGAGCATTCACTGCTAAGAAAACCGTCAAAAGTTTAGTAGCATTCGCATGATACTCCAAAATAAGGTAATCAAGTACCACCATTCATTTATATAGACACAGATACAATTTTCCTTAATAGAAAGTCACTGGCTCTTATGAAACTGCGGATGTTTGCCACCTTACCACTAATGTTCCCACACGACGGCAGCAGTTCCTAAGATTACTTGACCGAAGAATGGGGACAATATGAAAAGACATTATGTACTGAGAAAGCAACTTCCATATTAACATCGACATATGAGGACCTAACCAACACTCAAGCGATAAAAAATTGAACAACGTGCTCGAATTCAACCACAATGGTGCTGAAATATTTGCAAAAACTCCGAACGGCAGGTGTCTGCGGTGGGGTTCGAACACACTATTACCCATTCCGGGGGCTAACGCGTTCACCACCGCACCATGCGGATCCCTCATTTAGTCTGTCTCTCAACTAGTTTTGTATCGATCAGTGTCATCAGCAATCACCAATTAACGGGATTGATCTAAGGAGCCGAAATCGGCAATGAACCCAATTAAGCCGAGGCAGCAGTCCAAATCACAATTATTTGATACCGAGGCATGAAAACTGTAGTATTAGTAAATAAAAAGGTTAAGAAAGTGCTCGAATACTAAAGAAATGGTCACCTCTATTGGTTTTTAAATAGTTATTGAACCAAGTAACTTACTATCACTTAGAAAAGTGCGAATGTTTCAGCTAAAACGCTAATCATCTGGTCACCAAAGAGTCCTCTTATCAGATAAAAACACTTTACGAACTGTACGTATATAGCGATGTTGATGTGTAACAATCACTACGGGAATAGAACTGGATCCCATCGGACTAGCAGAGAGTGTAGAATAAGAAAAAGGAGAAAACTTAATTGTCTCGCTTGGGAAGGAATTCTAAAAATCTCACCGTCATCACTTGGTTGTAAAATCGTTGACTGGCTACCCGATTATTCCTAGCACACGCAAGAGTATCGACCTCATAGTCAACTGCCATGTCCTGAAAGTAGCTGAAAAGTGGATCTACTCGAAGACTTCTTAATGTAAATCAAAAGCTCACGATTATACCAGTTTAGACAAGTATTCACGTAAGTAACAAATTAAGAAAACAAAATTACGGTAATGCAATATCGATATGATTTTCGTCACAGGACATCAAACCTCAGCAAGTCTAACCTTTAAACTTAAATCTCTAAATAACACCAAAGATTTGAAACCAGAGTCTTGATGATCTGGAACTCTCACGAACAGATTGAGTCAGAAGCTGATGAGATTTCTAAAATATTATTAGTGCCTCTTCCATAATCTTCTCAAAATATTCCCACATATTGCATTACAGTTTGGGAACATCCTCTCATTCTATTGTGAAAATATACTGGCCCTATTAGAAATGGGCGCGTGTGGAGCAGTGGTTTGAGATGCCACTGCGACACACACGTGGAATCAATCCCTGCGCTCATGGCCCACCAAGCCTTCCATCCCTCCGAGGTCGGTAAATTGGTACCAGACTTGTCTGGGAGGATAAAACACTCGCTGGATACATCGGTAGGCCACCGCGGGTGAGGCCAGATATGCGTTCAATCACCTCCAACGATACCTAATGAAGTTGAATGCATGGCGCATCCCTCAGGGATTGATCAACGCCAAGAGCATTATTATTATTATTATTAGAAATAAACTGTTAATGGATCGAGTTTCTAACCAACACAAGAAACACTTTGGATTTTGAGGTGCTCCATAAAATATTTAGGAAGCTGTTGAACAATTTTTCGTCAAAATACAGAAAAAAGAAGTTCCAGAAAAAATCTTCACTCGAACACTCCTAAAAGTGGACAAAAACGTAAAATAAATCGAATAGAGTAATGCGCTTCCACTGAATTTCTCTACTGCTTATTTGGCGTTGGGCAATTTTAACAGGTTAACTTCGATAGTAAGAAAGGATTCCGTTAAGGAAAGTGAATCGCAACGTTCTTGAGCAAATCAAAAAACTGAACTGACAACAGAACCTTTGCTGGTAACAAAAGTAAATCCCCGACGAAAAGTCTTCGATTTGAACACATGACTGTTAGATCACTTTGGTCCCACCGTGATAACCTTAGTAGTACTACAGTGACGTGGCGAAATAATTGTTCAGCCGATTTCAAACTGTGTTTGGAAATATTTAAATATCCGGCACGATAATTTCAATCAGATATGATTCTATGGAAAACGAGTGTAATAAATGAAAACATCTCCATCTTCTACTCAATTGTTGAGTGCTTTGATAACGTGGAACGATAACGTTCAAACAAGGACAAGTCCACATTATAAGGAAATCGATATAAGGCCATACATAACCCTTTCTGATTTTCGAGTCAGTGATTTTCTTGTTGTTCAAAAGGTAATAATTTTTTTCAAGTTGAGAAGTTCACACCGCGCTATAATCGATATGAAGGGAACTAATGGGAAGTGGTTGGCTGAAAAAGTGATCGATGATTATCCTGCAACTACTCACACGTTGATCATGTTGCTAGCAGCGATAAAAAGTACGAAAGTGAGAAACTATTAGTGGGAAATGGCCGGAATTGAGAGAACGATGGGAGACGGCGAAAGGAATGCGGTACAACCAGGGCCGTCCGGTGGCTGGGGCTAGGGGGTGATGAGTGCGACCAGCGGCGCTATTGTTTGCGGTCAATGACTGGCTGGTTGACTGGCTGCGTGGCTCACTGGGCCTCAGACGATCGATCAGACAAACCTGAGGTACGAGTATAAGCTGACCAGCTGCTCAGCTCTGACCCAAACCAGACACGAAGACGTCAGGAGACAAACTAGTCAGCTCTGACCTAAACCAGACATGAAGACGTCAAGCGCTTCTGTAGTCACAATTGAATGAAGTTTTGAATGAGAGCAAAGGAGAGACGTGAGCATATTAGATATTCAGTAGTAAATATACAGATATGGGTACTAATATACATTACTTTACTGTACCATTTTCTTTTCTTCTGCGAATACTATTGAATGTGCTTGGCTGAACGGATTGCGAGTCAACTTGACCTTTCCAGGTTTTGAAGAGGCAAAATCCACAGAAACGTTAGCCAAGAAATTACCTCGATGTAAAATTCACTATCGTATATAAGAAGAATATATAACAATAGGTACATATATACATATGTTTACATGTATATATATATATACATATGTAAGAAAATGTAGGGCGCGTGAAGGGCAGCGGTCGGAGGCGCCCTGTAATACATGTGGGATCGATCCTCAGACCGCATGCTCAGGAAGCCTTACATCCCTCCAGGGTCGAAAAATTGGTGCCATACTTGTCTGGGAGGATAGCTGCACTGGCTCGCTGCATCGTTAGGCCACTGATAGTCATTGTATAGGATAGTTATGCATCCAGTCACCTCCAAAGATGCCTAATGAAGTCAAATGCATGGCGCATCCCTCAGGGATTTGATCAACGCCGAGAACTTTATCCTTTTTATCATGTATGAAATCAAAGGGAAAGCACAAAAGAGTATGAAGAGCAAGAGCGCTGTTGGGCTAATTTTGCAGTCGTATCCAAAAATTCACTATTTCTACTTTAAGATCCCATCTATGATCGTTTTGTATTTTCCTGAGCTACTGTATAGGAAAGGACATAATCTTTGAAAGCACTTCCATCAAATATTTCCAAAGAAACTACCCAATTGTTTCCCAGTTTTTCGTGCCACTGCCTCTTTACCGTAATTTCCAGTCCTTAAGTTTTCAAATATAACCATGTTTATTAAACGACGTACGTAGCACACTGGTCGGAGGCTCCCTGCAATACACGTAGGTTTGATCCCGTACCCAAGGCTCACCAAGCCTTTGATGCTTTCGCGATCTGCAGATTGGTATCCGAACTGTTTGGGAGGATGCCTGCACTGACTTTTCATATCGACAGGCCACAGCAGGATACTGTATAGGCCAAATTTGCATTCAATCGCCCCTAACGATGCTTGTCGATGCGGAATGCATGGCATGTCTCTTAGGCATTTTTATTGAATATGACAAATACGATCATGCACTTATTCAATACCCAGCGGAAGTGCCAGGAACAATCTTTCTAAGTTTGATTATCAAAAGCAACAATGAAAGTAGACTTTGCACATAAACTATTGCCCTTACCAGCTTTCCGATTGGAAGCACGGATACTACTGTACTACACAACTTCGTACAGTATCCGAGCCAAATGCTCTGGAAAGGTTCATCAGTCCGAGAGACGGCCATTGACGGACTCTTCCAACTTAACGGCGATCGGATCAGGGTAAGCGTAGCATTCTACACTGGCTTTACTGGGCGATCTCTTCTCAGTTTTTCTACACTGCTTTCACTGGATGATCTCTTCCTAGTTCTGTTTCATGCAAACAATTGTCAAACTATTACCTATGCGTACATTTGAATGTAAAGTTAATTAAGTAAAAAGAAATAAACGTCATAGAGTACAATGATGCTTTAACCAGTTGTACCACTGAACATTGTTGCTCCTGACTATCAAACACTTTTAGCGAAAGGTAGATAGTGTCATTTTATGTGAAGACATTCGATCATACATTGCCATCGTTCGCTGAATAATTTCACCAATTCCGACGACATTATGCAAAAAACTAAGAAGGTTCGATGTGTTCAAAATGGTTATGGTTTTCGTATTGGTGAGGAGTGTTGTTTAGTATCCAATTGAAAGCCAATTGTTAAAGAAGTCACAAGCAAGCTGATCCTCACATTGGGATGTCACGATCGTCCGACTGACCCCCCTATTATGTATGGTTGGCCTGACTTAATAATTAGCAAGGTCCTCTTGCTCAAAATGATTTGAATTCTAGACCTTTCTACTGTTGGAGAACTAAGCAGAGGTTATCATGATTGCTCAAAATAGCCACTATATAGCATATTCTACTACGGAATATTTCTATTCTAACGTTACGTGCGTGCCAGTTCATTAAGTCAATGCAGCTATCCTCCCTGACACGTCTCTTTGCCAATCCTGGAGAGATGAGGGTTCGGTCAGTGTGAGAGATTGATTCGAGGACCACATGTGTATTGTAGGGTTCCACTAACCGCTGCGCCACACACATCCTTACTATCCTTCCTTATCACAATGCATTCCTTATTATGTGGTGTACAGAAGTCAGCTGTATAGATACATTTTGATCCAGGTATATTGGTCCAAGCAAGGTGAGGTATGGTGAGCATGGATTTCCAAGTTAGATGAGAAAGAAAATGAGATTTTTTGACAGTGTAGTAATGAAGGGGATGGTAACTCAAACGAGTGGTTTCACTTTATGTAACTATGTAACTTTCACAAAGAAGAGTATTGCGTCTACTGAAAATCCGGCAACATACGGAATTAAGCCTGCTGACGTTGCGGATCTATTCGCGGGGTTTCCGCGATAGTTACTCAACAATAAAAAACAAGTGAAGGTTTTTTTTTGTAGCAACGGCAGCAAAGACAAAGTGCTCGTACTAGTAAGTTCTTAACAAGGTTGCGCTGTCGATAGAATGGCGACTTCAACGCCTAGAAAATGGTGTTTTTTTTCATGTGAACTTAACGATGTGTAGTTCGTCAACAGAACGTGCCAAGGTCGACGCCATGAAAACGAGACCTTTTTATTTGGGAACTTCCAAAAACGTTGACCAATATGTGAGTGGAGAAAACTCACCAGAGCATCGCTAACCCATGGTGAAGTCCGCTGAAAGTTAACATGTCGCATGTGTCGAATTGCGCGTCGTTGCGACTGACAGAGAGAAATTCCTGATAAGAACTATCTTCGCAAAAACTATAAAAAAGACAATTTGGACGGCGATAAAGAAAAAGAATGCGATGAATGAGTTAAGAAATTTTCGAGCAACGATGAGAAGTGTTCCCAAATGTCAATGGAACCCACGAACCGAAAAGGTGGATTCGAGTGGACGATTTAAAGTGAAAGCTCAGTTATCGTTGAGCAGGTCAGGCATTTTAACAATGGTTTTATTGGTTCTAAAGAAGTCTAA